GAAATACTCCAAAGTGGAACTTAATCACATTACTTTATGTTATGCCATGACTATCACAAGAATCCATTTAAAGTCTTCTACATTTTAATGTGTGGCTGTTGATAACTATAAAATTAATATAGCTGTAGTGCTCTATTTCTGAACTAATCACCTTATGTTCATTGGATTTAATCAGCATAGTTGAAAAACAAGATGGAAAAGTAGCCCACAACTTGTTTATAACCTCAAACAGGCATAGCATTTACTTGGGTGAAATGCTTATATAATCATAAATATAGATATTAACAAAAATAGTTTTTAAAGGACTTAGCTTTAAGAGGCTGTCTCTATTAATTTATGATATTATTTTGGTATTTTGGATAAGGTGACAGTACCTCTAGGCTGTAATCAGTTGGCTACATGGCAAACTGGTCCAGGATTGGTGCTTGGTACAGAAAGGGCCAAACACAAACATGAGCAGTTTCTAGTTCCAACTATTTGGGAGGCTGAGGCAGGAGTCCAAAGCCAGCCTGGGTAACATGGCAAGAAATAAAAAGCAAAAACAGCAAAATATGATGCACATGGTTAGGTATATAATTCTAGAATTCTGATAATAATTCTCTTTTTTGTATCAGTACAACATTCTCACCTGCTGTTTGGCTTGAAACTATTCTGTTTTAAATATAACTAAACTGACTCTGTGCACAAAGTGTTTTAAAAGACATAAACACAAAATAGGATAGAAATCATTACTTTTAGAGAAGTAAAGGTTGTTATGATGTTATCTGTTTTAAGCTTTGTATATTGAGCTGTTCACCTTTCAAAGATTAGAACTGGATGCTATTCCAAAATAAGGGCTTTAAAAAATATTTTCCCAGACTGGGGAGGTGGCTTAGTGCTTGAAAGTACTGGCTGTTCTTGGAAAGGATCCAGGTTCAATTCCCAACACCCACACGGCAGCTAGCAACCATCTATTACTCCAGATCCAAGTGATGTGACACTCTCTTCTTACCTACATGGGCACTGTACGACATGGATGCACTTAAAAACATGCAGGCAATATACTCATACACATAAAAATAATAAATAAAATAATTAAAGAAAACACCTTCCCATTCTGAAACTTTATGACAACTATTGATACCCATGAAATATGTTCACATTTTTAAAAATTATCATTACAAGTAGACCAGCAAACACTGTTTCTAGAGCCACTGAGCAAAACATAGCTCACTTGGACTCAAATATATCATTTAAGTCAACCGTAAATTGTTTTAAGTCACCACATTTGAGTTCCCTCTAATTTTCTGTTTTCTTTTTTATTTTTAGATTAACTGTTCCTTTCATTCAGTTTAAATGCTAATGTTTTGGGGGTTTTTTGAGAATTTCATACATGAGTATTTTATTTGCATCATGTCCACCCCTCCCAGTGCCTTCTAATTCCCTCATGCCCCCATTCCCAATCAATTTCTTGTCATCTTCTTTGTTATTGCTACACAAATGCATTTCTAAATGTACATGTATAGAATGCACTGAGTCCATTTACTGGTGTTCTGTGTTCTTGTGTTTACTGCTGCTTCTTTGGGAATACTTCATTTATCAGAGAGCTAGTCCCTGGAGAAAAACATTCGCCCTCACTCAATAGCAACTGATTCCTTGTAGCATTTCATCTAGCAGTGGGGTGCCTGTGAAAATTCCCACATCCAAATTCTCATGTCTTTTCTTAATTTTTTTCTAGTCTGTATTGAATTTTTGTCTATTTCATGCATCTTAATCATATTTAGACCCCTCCCCTATCGGCACCATCCCAAAGCACTCTTCCACCAGATTTCATGCATTCTGGTGGTGCTAAGGCCTATCAAGTCAAGTTTGTGTCCTCAGATGTCCCTCTGTGTGAGTTCATCCACAGGAATCTGGGCAATCTGTCTAGCATCACTCCCTTAAAGAAGACCAATTCTCCCTTACCCAGCAGTGATCAGATTCCAGCTCTTCAACTAAGGTTGAGGTTTCTTACCTTAACCTTAATTTTTCTCTAGTTTTGAGTTTGCTTGAGTCTTACGTGTGCTGGCACCATTGCTTTAAGTTCATATGAACCAGCTCCCAGCCACTTGGAACACTGTCTCCTTGTGACTATCTACCACCCCTGGCTCTTCCCATCTTTTCACCCTTCTTCCACAGTAGTCCCTGAGCCCTGCATGGCAGAGGTTTAATAAAGGAGTCCTATCAGGGACATGTACTCTGCAGTGTCTTATTCTCTACATTTTGGCCAGTTGTAGGTTTTTGTGTTGATTACCATGTGTTGTATGACTAAGCTTCACTGCTGAGACTTGAGAGATGCATTAATATTTTCCCTGCCCCTGTCCCACTATGTTTTCTGAGTCTTAGGTGTAGAGGTTGCATTGTAGATGTATCGGTTAGGGCCAGGCAATTCACAGACACTTGTTCTCTGCATTTGACCAATTATGGAACTCAGCAATAGTCTCCATCTGTTACAAAAGAAGTTTCTTGAAGAGGGGTAAGATCAAGAAAACAAATGAACTCCAAATCCTTAGATGTGAGTACATGTCCTGTTGTAACCACAGGAGTTAAGAGAATGGAAAGGAACCATAAGAGTAAAGGGGAGGAAGGAGCTCGAGATAAGGAAAATGTAAGAGACAGATGATATCAATGAGGAAATAGGGAAAATGGGAGTATTTAATTGGAAAGGGAGAAGGGAATGTTATAACGGGAGAGAGAGGAGAGATAAGTAGTGCTTAGGGGGTGTGAAAAACCAGAGGGAAAAGTATTATTCAAAAGCCTACTGAAACACACACACTATATATATTAATTAATATATATTATCTATTACTATACATACATATCTCAATTTTAAAAGTTCCACTGAAGAAGAAGCTCTTCTCTGGCCTTTTTGGTTGTTTATGGCTCTTCCTCAGAGCCGATTTCTATAAAGCTATTTCTATATTTTTAATTCACAATAAAACTAGGGAATACTTGTCTTGTATAACATGATGTTCTGAAACAAGCATACATTGTTGAATGCCTACGTGGAGCTAATTAATAAATGCTTTACATTACATACTTAATTTTTTTCTTGTTGGTGAGGACATCCAAAATTCACTTCCCTATGATATTCAAAATAATAACTCATAAGTTTTCTAGCACCACTATACTATGCAATAGATTTGTGGAATATATTATTCCTTTTTAACTAATATTCATATATTTTATGAATATTTCTCAAACCCAGATCCTCTAACCCTTGGTAACCACCATTCTACTCTGCTGATGGGATTTCAAACATCCTGATTATGCTTTTCATGAATAAGATGATGCTGTGCCTGACGCTCTGTGGCAGGCTTCACATGATGTTTTGCAGATGGTTTTCTACATTTTAAGAAAGAATAATGGTCTGTTATATATCATGAATCTAATACATATAAAATGAATACTATTTATACATAGATCTAGACCACATTTCTTAATCCATCCAGGCTCTGATGGACACACAGTGTCTTATATTTTCTTGGTTATTGTAAATATTGCTGCAATGAACAAGAGCTTGCCAATGTTATTTTATAATACAAATTCCAATTCATGTTATATATGAAATATTATATATTGTATATTATATATACATATTCCATTTCATATTGTATGGTCAGAATTGACATTTTTCATCAAATGTTAATTCTATTTTGAATAACCGTAGGTTAAGAAGTGTCATACTTTTATCTTTGACTGCCTGATTTACATTCACATCAATAGTGTGCAAGATTCCCTTTTCTCCACTTCCTCATCAAAACTTCTTATCTTTCATCTCTCTGATAAGAGTCATTTTGACAAGGGCAAGGAGGCGTCTCCTGGTGGTTTTGATTTTCATTTTCCTTTATGATTATTCTTTCAGTTGACAAATTATCTTAGGTATTATTTTTGTCTTTAAATCTTCATCCTCAGATAAAACCGATTATGCACTGAATCAGGACAGTATTTGGCTGTCTTAAATGTGGCTGGGTATGTCCTCGTTTTGTTCACTAAGTTTGTGCTTTCTTGTGTTTTCATGTTTCTCCCTAGCAACGGTTGAGGACAGGTCGGTGTTTGTGAGCCTCTGTGCCGTGCACTAACCTGGGAAAGACTTTATGGTTCTTCTTTCTTTGCTCTGCTTCCTCAGCTTTGCAGAATAGAATGTCTTGTTTGGCGACTGTTCACTTCCTGCAGCCCTTTATTTTTCCTTCCCTCTCTCTTGGCCTGTGCTGCCCCTGTGAAACTCCCACCTTCCTTGTTGAACCTCATCAAACGTGCTGGTCTTTTCTTTCTCTTGCTGCTTCAGTTGCATCATTTCTCTTTAGCTCTTTACTTCTTTGCTGTAATTGTTTTTGTTATGGGTTCATTTAGATTGGAGTTTGTTTAGACATTTTTGCTATTCTTACATCTGAAGTTTTCTATTTCTCCACATTTAGAAAGTTTTCTGCTGTTGTTTCTTTAAATAATTACCCAGTCCTTTATGTTCTTCTGTCCCTTGAACTTCAATCCATATACTCCCAGAATTTGGTTTAATTTATGATACACTGGATTAAAATGGTATGAAAGCATATCCAGGCTCTCTACATTATTTATAAAGCAATATGATACATCCTTTCATTATAAAACAGCCTATGTGCTAAAAGAACTTGATCAACTTTAGGATACTATCAATGTTCTGAGCACATTTACAGGAGGCTGGGCTACGCTGTAATTTTGGGTAG